AATGGGACAGAGTAGTGTATTAATGGAATGATCTCAATAGCCATTCTGAATCGAAAGATTGTTCCTGTCCCAGATTGTGTTCTGCCTACCACATTGCCCAATACAGCCTCTCAGAGCCTCTGCAATGAGATTAAATAACAAAATTCAAAGGGTGAAATTAAAGTAAATATTCCAAATTAAATTAAAATATTCCCTGAATCATATGTCAACATATAGTAGTACTCCAAAATTAAATATAACCCCCTCTCATTAATTTCTCAGGGATATAATTTAAAGATTAAAATCTTAAAAATTAAAATCCAAAATGTTTCAGCTAAATTAAAAGGCAACAAAGTATAAAAAATAAAGAAAATTCTGCTGTCCTTGTGCATTATTAATCCAAAGATGGTCAAGTCCTAAATCTCAACTTAAAGTCTAGAGTCATTCTCCCAACTTATCATTCTGCTCTATTTCAGTGGGATGAATTTTTCAGGTGTGCATTCTTAGCAGACACAGTCAGCAGCAGGTGCAGCTCAGGGCATCAAAATTGTGTTTTTTCACAGCTAAGCATCTCAGGAGACTCGCTTTTAAGGAGTCAAGCAAGCTTTGATTCAAAACAATTACAGAGCAATTGTTTTCCACATTAAAACATTTTATAAAATAAAGCAATTCTCAAACTCCTAGGGCAGTTATTCCAAATATAGTCATGTTCTAAAGCCCACTACTTAATAGAGTCCTCTAAATTCTTCTTCTCTTCCCAAACATTTTAGTTCAAAAGCGTGGGGACAAAACCAGGGAGCTATGGTGGCCCAGAGTGAGGTGTTGGAGCCTGAATGGAAAGAGGAAGATAAAAGTGTGGGAAGGCTACCTGGCACAGTGTTGGAGCTCAAGTCAGAGCATCCCAGAATGGTGAGCATCAGAGGATGACATATCAAAGAATCAACAAGGTCAGGGGACATCCACACAGAGGCAGCAGGATAGCCTAGTGTGGATTTTCAGAGCCCAGTGGGGGTAAATCATCTGCAGAAGAGGTACTCTGGCACAGGATATCTGAGAAGGGATGGGGTGGACAGGGCACATCCTGGGAGGGACAACAGTGGAGACAATAGTGGAGACACCCCAATGTGCGTGTTGGAATCCATGTAGCAGTGAAGAGGATATGTGCGTAGGGACGGAAACAACAAAGCTTAGTTGCATAAAAAGAGGTTGAACGAATAAGTAATGACAGTGAAGATGGAAGTCAGCTTACCACTACAAAAGGTGTTACAAAACACTGAATGGGCAAAGCTGGAATGAACCATGTGGGATTTGACTGGAACTGCAATAATTGTTAAAAATTTATGGTTTTCAATAGATTTTGATATAGAACTGTAGATGAATGCATGCATGCCTGTATGTGTATTTATGTACGCACTTGTAACTTCCCGCTGTTCTCTGAGGGCACCCATGAGCAATGACAACCCCAGTAGCAATACGCACAGAAACCACAACTAGTGCCCAGATCTTGGTTTCTAAATATCTGTCTCCTAAAAGGAATCATGGTTTGATGAAAAAATGTCTGATTCCAGAGCTGAGGCAGAAAACTGCAAGATGAACTTGGAACATCTTGTATAGAGAGGAACATAGTACTCATAGAAAAATGGGGACATGTCAAATAGACATGAAGTCAACTTGAAAACGGTTACCATGTAGGACAATTTAAACATGAAATTAATAAGCTTTCCCTTCTTCTACATTTATTTGTTGGTTTGGCTTGTTTCTATGAATTTTAAATGTGGAAGGAATGATAGAATTCCTTCATTTAGCCACTATCATAATTGATTCAAGCAAAGAATCATCAATAGATGCTCATTCTATTGCGTTAGATTTTTGAGGAGTAACCAAAATACTTAGAATCTCAAAGTATATCCACACGAGACATTTGTGAAATATAACATGTAAATAGTAATTGTACTGTGTGGATGAACCCTGCAGACATTTCTCAACCCCAGATCAATGTCAACATTGCCAGTAACGGAACCAAAGACGTGCCTTCAGATTTGCTGCACTGGGAATAACTTGGCGTCACTTGGGTGGCACTTCTGACAAAATGGCATAATCTGAAGCTTCTTATGAGGGAACATCACACAAACCTAAACTGAGAGAAAGTCTACAACCTATACTCTTCATGTAAATAGCATGGATAGCACAGGAAGATTCAAGAAATGTCACAGGTTAACGGAGACTAAAGAAAAAGGACAATTGGATGCAACACATTATCTTTTTATTTTTTATTTGCCCTATAAAAGATACTTTTAAGATAATTGAAAAAAATCTAAATAAGGTCCACAAATGAAATATTAATACTGAGCTAATTTTCATTTCCCAATTTTGATAATTATACTACAGTTATGTAAGATAATTCCTTTTTTTAAGGAAATACACACTAAAGGACTAAAGAAGTATCATGTCTGCAACTTACAAATGATTCATACATTATATATATTATATACCTATATTGATATTTATCTAAAAAGAGAGGAGAAGCGAGAGAGCATAAAGCAGCTATAATAAAAAGTTAACATTTGGAGAATGGTACCCAGAAATTCTTGGTAGTCTTCTTGCAACTTTTTTATAAGTCCGAATATTTCTATTTTTTCTCCTAGAAGCTAGGATAAATTTTTTTAATTAAATTTATTAAATCAGAAAAATTAACATTGGAGGACTTTCTCTATGACTGGAAATTATTCCTTGAAAGATCCAAAGTCATGAAAGTTAGGGAAGGAATGAGGAACTGTTCCAGACTTGGGACATGAAGAGACACAACAACAAAATACAATCCATGGATCTCAGCAGGATCTCTTTGCTGTAAAAGATTTCATAGATGAGGGTCAAAACTTGAAAAGTGTATGAGAAACAAATGATAGAATGTATCTCTGTTAATTTTCTGATTGTGAAGGTGGTATGGTAGCTAACTGGAATGTTCTGGCTTGTAGGAAATGAAGGAATCAGGGATAATGGCCTAATGCCAGCAATTTACTCTCAAATGGCTCATGGAAAAAAAATGTTCTTTGTATTAAAACTTGAAACTTTTCTCTAATTTTAAGGCTGTTTCCAAAAAATCAATCAATCAATCAATCAATGGAAAAAGTGAAAAGCTTTAGGCGAATCTTATTTCTCCATAAGGAAATATCAAGGAATCAGTGTTTCAGATTATATAAAATATATTTTATGGCAAGATGACAATTGTAATACATCCAAACACTGATGGTAGCCATAGCAGCAGACATCAAAATGATGTCTGTCTAAACCTTTAGGTTCATATATATTCATAAAAATAGTATAAATACTCTTCAAAAACTTAAGAGTAGAATTACCAGGGAGTGGCATTAGAACCATGACAGAAGAAAGAATCCCCCTTGATTTCTCCTCTTGATATTACAACACACTGAACAGCTACAATCCAAAGAAAATACCCAGCCTAGCACACAAATACACCTGAGAGATCTGCTCATAGAGCATCTGAAGGAAGAGCAATTGGATGAGTAAAGGAAGAGGAAAGGGACAGGAGCAGAGATCAGCACTGGAGACTGGTGCTGTGAACGCAACCCTGAACTCCCTGCAGGATGCAGGGGAGGGAGGACTTAGGTGGTGGTTTATAGTCTTTGAAAGCTTCTGAGGAGTCCTGCCTGAGTGATTGACATATTCCATGCAGCAGAGACCAGTGAACAGAGAACAGGGCAGAGACAAAATATTGGAAGTGGACTGCTGTGTTTTAGCAACCACCATTGCAGTCAATAGCTGAGTCACAAAGCGTGGCCGTCTCCTACCACCCTGCCAGAGTGCACCTCGCTGTTCCATATCAGAACAGATAGCAGGCCCCAGAACTGCATCAAGCTGTTGGGGTAATTTACCAAGACTTCAGGTGCTCTTCAGAGGCTCTTCAGAGGCTTGGATCCCTATCTCCTCCACATTCTGCTGTCATGGTAGAGTACAGGGATGAAGCTATCTGGACATAAAAGAGACACACACTTCTTCAGGGAATAAAGGGCATGTTTTTTTCTACCACAAAGAAAAAATCCTGGAGGCCTCCACAGTGCAGGAGGCTAGGGAGTCTCCTGCTGGAAAACAAATAAAAAAATCTCTTTTTATCAACTTGCTAAAGAGAGATCACGCTAAATAATAATAATTAAAAAAAAAAAAAAAGCAGAGTACTTTTCCATAAATGTGTAGGCGAAGAAATAATCCAACAAACACCATGAACAACCATGGTGACAAGGCAGCTCAGAAAGAAAATGAAAAATTTCCAAAAAATAAACATATAAATACAAAAATATACAACTTAAATGACAGATTTCAAGATTGTATTTTGAGAAAACTCAACGAGATATAAGAAAATGCTGATCGATAGTTCAGTGACCTCAGAAACAAAATTAGTGACAAAAGTAATACTTTACCAAGGAAATTAAAACACTAAAGAACCCAATAGAACTTCTGAATCTGACGAATGCAATAAAAGAGATGAAGAATAAAATAGCAAGGTAAGAAATAGAGCTGACCAGATGGAGGAGGAGTTAGTGGCATGAAAGACAGAAATGTGGAAATGACACAGATAGAAGAAGAGAGAGATTAGAGACCGAAAATAAATAAATAAATAAAAGAGCTCCGCAGGAACTATCTGATACCATCAGAAAGAGCAATATCAGAATAATGGCTATACCAGAAAGAGAAGGACGGAGAAAAGAACAGAGAACCTATTCAAACAAACAGTCAGTGAGAACTTACCTAACCTATGGAAAGCCCTGGATCCAAGAAGCAAGCAGAACACCTAATTATCTTAATTTAAAAAAGTCTTCTCCAAGACACATTATATTAATACTGTCAAAAATGAATGACAAAGAAAAAATTCTCAAGGCAGCCAGGGAAAAGAAGACAGCAACCTAAATAGGAAACCCCATAAGATTATCATTTGACTTTTCAGCACAGACCTTACAAACTAGGAGGGAGTGGAATCAAATATTCATACAACTGAAAGAGAGAAATTACCAGCCAAGAATCATATATCTAGCAAAGTTCTTTAGATCTGAAGAAGAAATAAAGACTTTATCAGACATACAGATGCTGAGGGAATTTTCCACCACAAGGCCTACATTACAGGTACTACTAAAGAGGGTCATTCTACCTAAAGTTCAAAATAATACAAAATTATGAGCAAGATGACTAACAGACAGACAGAAACAGGAAAGTGCAATCCTTATTAAGAACATGATATTATAAGCCATATTGGAAGAAAGAAGTTAATGAGGTAATAGTTTCACAGTATAAAAAAAAAATAATTTGAACCTAGAATTTTTTAAATCTAGTTAAACTGTTATTTAAATGCAAGGGCAAAATAAGGAATTTTTAGGTATTTTACAACTCTAAATGTTTAATGACATTCTGAAAGAGCTTTGGAGGAATTAAACCAGGAAGAAGAGAAATAAATCAAGAAAAAAAAACAATGAAAATGAGCAATTAGCCAAGAATTAAAATATCAAGTTTGTTATTGATTAAGTGAATTATAACTATAAAGAAAAATATATGTCTTGTAAATATGAAACAAAAGCATTATGCAAACTAAATTGTCAATGGAAGGGTAGAGTTCTAGTACTAACAAAAAATACACAAGACATTTATAAGGAAAACAATTTTTTAACTATCGAAAGTTATTAAATAATACATAAACAAATGGAGAAATGTAGAATGTTTTAAGACGGAAATATTTAACATTCTAAGTATGTTAATATTCCCCAAATTAATGTATATATTCAATATTATTCACACTGATATCCCAGTAGTAGCTTTAGGAGAATTAGACCAACTGTTTAAAATTTTGTAGATAAATAAAAGCCCACGAATAGCAAAGAATATTCTAAAGATCTTCATAGGGATCGTATTTTATCATATATTAAGACATATTTCAAATTCATAATATTAAAGTAATTTAGTGTTGAGAAATGATCAAACAATTAAAGCAATGGATCATATAATATATATATTTATA